GCATGGCTAATAAAAGTTTGAAAGCCTCTTTGAGGACAGGATAGCTGGTGGTGGTATATCCTGAGACTTTTGCTTTCAACCATGAGAAGTCCTTGGGTGCAAGAAGGGCTGGTAGCAATGGAAGGAGGCACACGAGGTGGAGCAGGACCAAAGTTGTTCATAATCCTACAGAGCCAATTCCCCACTCTCCTTATCTAAACCACTTAACCACCGTCATTGAGTCAACTCCAACTCATAGCAACCCTATGGGGCAGAGTAGAACTGCCCTATAGAGTTTCTAAGGCTGTAAATCTTTATGGAAGCAGACTGCCTCATCTTTCTCCTGCAGAGTGGCTGTAGGTTCGAACCACCAACGTTTTGGTTAGCAGCTCCATGCTTTAACCACAGCATCACCAGAGAGCCTTTCTAAACCTCTTAGTAATAGGTCATTTATGGGCAAACTCAATCACAGACTCAAGAAAACTTGACTACTTTACCTGCTCAGTCAACTCTCAAGTATTTATTGAGTATCTTACTTTGTTCTTCTGAGCACTACCCCAGAGTGCCTGACTCCTAGGGCTCCAGTTCAGCTGGAGAAGATGGTGTGCACTGTTCATTCAGCAAACAAGATTGGAAAAAATACAGAAGCTTTCATAGGAGAGACAAAGAGGCACAGATAACTGCCAGTGTGAGTGGTTCATGAGGACTGGTTCACATTCAAAAAAGACTGTTAGAAAAAGAGGAAGTTTCTAATTTAGATTGATAAACAGCACCTCACTTCCCCTTGCCCTTTCTCCTCTCTCCTCAAGGCAATAAATTTACAATGACTCTTTCCAGCTCCTCTCCTCCACCACCACCATCCTCTGCTTCTGCCTCTGCCTCCCCCAAAAGATTTGTTTACAAGTCATTTCCCAGTTTTCAGGAGCAAGCAAATCACCAAAATCATGAGACCCAGCAAAGCTGCAGAAGGCTCTGAGACTTTCAATTCTCTGTTTCAGATTCAATACAGAACATGTTCCTTCTCCTGCTAATGTTGAGCCTGGGAATGTGGCTTCGGCAGACAACAGGTAAGGAAGAACGAAGGGAGGGGACTGAGGAAGAAGAGCAGAGGGGCCTCTGGTTGAAGCCAATAGGGAGAGCTTTCTTTGAGACAAAGAGTGATCTCTGGCTGTTAGAAACCCACAATAGAAACCTTCCATAGAAGAACAGCGTTCAGGGTGGTTTGTGTATGCCAATGACAGAATATTCACCCATCCACCCCTGCTATCTGATGAAGGTAGTGGCAAGGTGAGAGGTCCACTTTGACCACATACATCTGAACTAATTCAAGAGGGGTGGGATTGCTTTCCCATAAAGGTAAGATGTCTTCTCTTCTGGGATAGAGAGTGAGAAGACAATTGTCAGGGGGATACCTAGAAGTCTTTAGTCTAACAAGTCTCTTGCAAGTATTCTTCCAATTACTGGCATACTCCTTTGAGTTCCTCTTTTAATAAGCAAAATAATAGCAGCCTATTGAACATTCACACTTTAATGTAGATTACTTGAATTGATAAATCTGATTCTTCCTAAAGTCTACATGAATAACAAACCTTAGGCTATGCCTTTGAACTATGAAAAAATAAATTCTACTGGAGGTTGTGGGGAGCAGAAAGGGAAGCAGATTCAGTCTGTTGTCTCCTGGGGAAAGTAGTTCAGCCCATCCAAGTGAGCAGTTAGGACCATGAGTACATCATTTTGGGTGAATGCCAGGGAGTAAAAGAGGAAGACAGAGGTGGGGAAATCTGAGTAGGTCTTCAGTGATAGCAGCCCCAGTCCCATGAGAAATCCTTTAATGTTTACATTTGATCGAGAAATAATGGTTTCTTTGGTGTGGACAATATTTTGAGAGCCTTATCTCTTTTCAGGTCGTCACAACCTGCTCTTTTCCCAATCACATTCCTCTCCTTCCCTTGGGCTGCCCAGCCTGGTCTGGGTCTAGAGATATATAGACAGGACCCTAGTTGGGGAAAACCCAAATATTCTGCTGATTCCAGTCCATGCAAACCCTCCTCTAACTCTTAAGCCCTGGCTTGGTGTTATTAGTTGCCATGGTGACTCTATGTGTCCTCTGTTTCAAGGCTGTGAAGCAGATCACCAGGCTTGTTTTTCATACTGTGTCTGAGTAAGTTCAAACTACCAACTTTTCAGTTAATAGAGCACTTAATCATTAGTGCCACCCAGAGACTCCCAAGACCTGGCACCCCACTGATCTATTCTCTGGCCTTATAGTTTTAATTTTTCCAGGATGTCATATAAACAGGATCATCCATTATTTACTCTTTTTCATCCAGCTTCTTTCACTTAGCATAATGCATTTGAGATTCATCTGCATTGTTATATGTATCAGTAGTTCATTCTCTTTTGTTGCTGAGTAGTACTCCATTGCATGTATGTAACACATTTTGTTTATTCATTCCCCAGTTGAGGAATATTTAGATTGGTTATAGTTTTTGGCAATTACAAATAAAGCTGCTATAAAAATTTGCATATAGGTTTTTGTGTAAACATAGGTTTTTATTTAATTTGGGTAAATATATAAGAGTGGAATTGTTGGGTCATAGGGTGTCTACCACATCTCTGTCAGCTTGTCATGCTATGATGGTTTGCATATTGCCAGGATACTGGAAGCTATGCCACCAGTATTTCAAATATCAGTAGGGTCACCCAGGGTAAACAAGTTTCAGTGGAGCTTCCAAAAAGAATGACTAGGAAGAAGGACCTGGCAATCTACATCTAAAAAACTGACCAGTGGAAACCTTGTGAATACTAGCAAAATATTGCCTGATAGAGTGCTGAAAGATGACCCCTTCAGATTGGAAGGGACTCAAAAGACAATTGGGGAAGAGCTGCCTCCTCAAAGTAGAATCAACTTTAGTGACATGCATGGAGTCCATGTCAGGACCTTCATTTGCTGATATGACATGACTCAAAATTAGAAGATACAGCTACAAACATCTATTAATAATTGGAACATGGAATGTATGAAGAATGAACCTAGTAAAATTGGAAATTGTCAAAAATGAAATGGAACACTTCAAGATAGAGATCCTAGTCATTATTGAACTGAAATGGACTGTTATTGACAATTTTGAATTGGACAACTATATGGTCAACTATGCAGGGCAAGACAAATTGAAGAGGAATGGTATTACATTCATGGTCAAAAAGAACATTTCAATATTTATCCTGAAGTACAATGCTGTCAGTGGTAGAATAATATCCAAATGCCTACAAGGAAGACCAGTTAATATTAATACTATTCAAATTCACATACCAACCACTAATGCCAAAGATAAAGAAATTGAAGATTTTCACCAACTTCTGCATTCTAAAATTGATCAAATATGCAATTAAGATGCAATGATAATTACTGGTGGATGTAATGCAAAAGTTGGAAACAAAGAAGGATCAGTAGCTCGAAAATATGGTCTTGGTGATAGAAACAAAGTTAGATGATAGAATTTTGCAAGACCAGTGACTTATTCACTGGAAATACCTTTTCAACAATGCAAACAGTGACTATACATGTAGATCACACCAGATGGAAAACACAGGAATCAAATCAACTGCATCTATGGAAAGAGATGGTGAAGAAGCTCAACACTATCAGTCTGAACAAGGCCAGGGGCCAAATGCAGAAGAGATCATCAATTGCTCATGTGCAAGTTCAAAATGAAGCTGAATAAAATTAAAACAAGTACATGAGTGCTGGAGTATGACCTTGAGTATAGTCTCAATTGAATTCAGAGACTATCTCACAAATAGATCTGATACATTAAACACTAATGACCAAAGACCAGACAAATTGTGGTATGACATAAAGGACATCAGACATGAAGAAAGCGAAAGAGCATTTAAAATGCAGGAAAGTAAGAAAAGACCAAAATGGATGTCAGAAGAGACTCTGAAACTTGCTCTTGAACAGAAAATAGCTGAAGCAAATGGAAGAAAGGATGACATAAAACAGGTGAACAGAGGATTTCAAAGGGTGGCTCGAGAAGACAAAGTAAAGTTTTATAATGAAATGTGCAGAGACCTGGAGTTAGAGAACTAAAAAGGAAGAACACATTCAGCATTATCAAACTAAGAGAACTGAAAAAATTCAAGCCTTGAGTTGCAATATTGAAGGATTTTATGGACAAAATATTAAACAATGCAGGAAACATTAAAAAAAAAAAATGGAAGGAATACACAGAGTTACTGAACCAAAAAGAATTGGTTGATGTTCAACCATGTCAGAAGGTAGCATATGACCAAGGACCAATGGTATTGAAGGAAGAAGTCCAACCTGCACTGAAGGTATTGGGTAAAAATAGGACTCCAGGAATTGATGGAATACCAGAGATGTTTCGACAAATCGGTGCAATGCTGGAAGCACTCACTCGACTATGCAAAAAAATTTGGAAGACACTACTTGGTTAACCAACAGGATGAGATCCATATTTGTGCCTATTTCAAGGGAAAGCAATCCACTAAAATGTGGAAATTATCAAACAATATCATAAATATGACATGCAAGTAAAATTTTGCTGAAGATAATTCAAAAATGTTTGCAGCGGTACATCAACAGGCAGAAATTCAAACCAGATGCAGAAGAGGATGTGGAACAATGGATATCATTGCTGATGTCAGATGGATCTTAGCTGAAAGCAGAGAATACCAGAAAGATGTTTACCTGTGTTTTATTGACTATGCAAAGCATTTGACTGTGTGGATCATAACAAATTATGGACAACATTGCAAAGAATGGTATCATGACTTGAATTATGTCCCCAAAAAATATGTGCCAACTTGGCTGGTCCATGATTCTCAGTGGTTTGGCAAATATGTCAGGATATAATTTAGCACTTATGTAATAATGTAATCATCCCTATGATGTTATCTGATATGATCAGCCAATCAGTTGTATGGGGATTAGGGTGAGATGCAACACCCTTACTCAGGTCATAGCCCTGATCCAATGAAAGGAGAGTTTCTCTAGCATGTGGTCTATATCAGCTTTTATCTTACAAGAGATGAAAGGAGAAAGAAGCAAGCAGAAAAGGAGGGACCTCATTACCACCAAGAAAGAAGAGCCAGGAATGGAGGGTATCCTTCGGACCTGGGATCTCTGCACTGAGAAGCAACTAAACCCAGGAGAAGATTGATGCTAAGACATATCAAGATTTCCAAGGAATATTGGGCCCACAGATGTTGAAAAAGATAAGAACTTTCCCCTAGAGCTGACAGGGAGAGAAAGCCTTTCCCTGGAGGTTGTGCCCTGAATTTGGACTTCTAGCCTTCTAAACTATGACAGAAAATATTTCTGTTTGTACAGACATACACCTGTGGTATTTCTGTTACAGCACTAGATAACTAAGACAGTATTTGGTACTGGAAGTGTGGGGTGCTGCTCTAACAGGTACTTAAAATGTGAAGTTATTTTGGAATTGGGTAATGGGATATACGAAGAGGCAGTCATTCAAACAGAACAAGAGGATACTGGATGGTTTAAAATTAAGAAAGATGTACATCAGGGTTGTATCCTTTCACCATTTCCGTATTCAATCTGTATACTGAGCAAATAAGCTGAGAAGCTGGACTTTATGAAGAAGAACATGGCATCAAGATTGGAGGAAGAGTCATTAACAACCTGTGATATGCAGATGACACAACTTTGCTTGCTGAAAATGAAGAAGACTTGAAACACTTCTGATGAAAATCAAAGCCTTCATTCAGTACAGATTACACCTCAATATAAAGGAAATGAAAGTCTTCACAAGTCACCAAGAATTTGATTTTGCTTGGATTCACAATCAACGCCCATGGAAGCAGCAGTCAAGAAATCAAATGACCTATTACACTGGGCAAATCTGCTGCAAAAGACCTCTTTAAAGTGTTAAAAAGCAAAGATTTCACTATGAGTACTAAGGTGTGCCTGACCCAAGCCATGGTATTTTCAATCACCTCATATGCATGTGAAAGCCAACAATAAATAAGGAAGACTGAAGAATTGATGCATTTGAATTATGGTGTTGGTGAAGATTATTGAATATAGCATAGCCTGCCAGAAGAACAAATATATCTGTCTTGGAAGAAGTACAGGTAGAATGCTCCTTAGAAGTGAGGATGGTGAGACTTCATCTCACATACTTTGAGTATGTTATTAGAAGGGACCAGTCCCTGGAAAAGGACATCATGCTTGGTAAAATAAAGTCAGCAAAAAAGAGGAAGACCTTCAATGAGGTGGACTGACACAGTAGCTACAACAATACACTCAAAACAATTGTGAGGATGGTGCAGGACCAGGCAGTGTTTCGTTCTGTTGTACATAGGGTCACTGTGAGTTGGAACCAACTCAATGGCACCTAACAATAGCAATGACTAATGATGTTAAATACATTTTCATGTGCTTACTTGCCACCCAATGTCCATGGGTGGCACAAGCAGTTTGCTTTCAAGAATTAACATAGAGATTGATGCTTCAAACCCACACAGCAGCACTGCAGAAGACATGGCTGGCAATTAGCTTCTGTGAAGATTACAACCAAGCAAGGGAATAGTGGACCATGAGAACTTCAGCCTACATGACCCTGAGACCAGAAGAACTAGATGATGCCTGGCTACTACTGTCAACCACTCAGAAAGGGATCAGTGCAGGAGATCCTGGCTAGAGTGGGAGAAAAATGTAGAACACAACTCAAAATTATAAAAAAAAAAAAAAGACCAGGTTGACTGGTCTGAGAGAGCCCAGTGAAACCCCCAAGACTATGGCCTCTTTCACCCTTTGGCCTGAAATTGAACTCATTTCCATGGCGTTCAGCCAAACAACAGACAGGCAAATAAGGTGAACATTTACACCAGGTAGGTATACTCCTTAGAACAATCAACCATGGGAGATCAGAAGGGCAGCATTTGCACAGGGAAATAGCTCAGGGAGCAGGAATGCATAGGAAAGAAGGACAGAAGGAAAAAGGTAACCACAAGGAAGAAGTGGAAAGAGAGCTGTTAAGTTATGGGGATTGCAATCAATGTCATGAAACAAAATGTATGTGAATGGTTGAATGGAAACTAAAATTTCTTTGTGAATTTTTACCCAAATCACATGCACACACACACAAAGATTACAACTAAGAAAACCCTACAGAGCAATTCTACTCTGTCACATATGTAGTTGCCATGAGATGGAGGTGGCTCCAAGGCAATGAGTTTTTGGTTTATTTGCCATCCATTTATCTTCTTTGGTGAAGTGTATATTCAAATCTCTTTTCATTTTTTATTGGGTTGTTTAAGTATTAAAAGTTGAGAATACTTAACATTCCTGATACAAATCCTTTATCATATACGTGACTTGCATGTATTTTCTCAGTCTGTGGCTTGTCTTTCTATTCTCTTAACCGTGTCTCTGCAGAGCCAAGATTTTAATTTTCATAAAATCCAATTTATCAATGTTTTCTTTTATGGATTGGGCTTTTGCTACCTTTTCTAAGACTTCTTTGTGTAACCCAAAGTTTCAAAAAATTTCTTCCAAACATTTTGTATTTAGATTATGATCTATTTTGAGTTACTTTTTGTATAAGATGTGAGGTATAAGTCAAGACTTTTTTGCATATGACTGTCCAACTACTCCAACCCCATGAGTTGAAAAAACACCTTTCTTCATTGAATTGCCTTTGCACCTTTGTCAAAAATCAATTGTCATTGTGTGGGTCTATATCTGGACTCTATGTGTATATCCTTTCATCAGTATCAAATTGCCTTGATTATGGCAGCTTTATAGTTCATTTGTTTTCTTATTTCAAAATCTGAGGACATCTTGTAACCAAGGTACACTTAAGAAGACTAATTCATTTTTGCAGCTTGTCGTGTCTTGGAGGAAAGAGCTCCCTCACTCTTCCTTCTTTTATTGATGTTTCCTTCTCTCTTCATCCTCTGGAGATGGATGAAAACCAGAGTGGGGTGGGGTAGCCCTGGTGGTGACACTTGAAGTCACTTTGTGTTGGGGACCACACCCAGGGCCACTATCTTTAGTCTCTGTAACTTCTGCCGACCTTTTCACTGAGGTATGCAAAGCACAAGAATTAGGTTGGGGAAAGGATTTCTAAAAGAACTAATGCATCCAAGTAGTTTTCTGAAGAATGTAATTTTGTGAAGCACACACACACACACACACACACACACAC